AGGCGCTGTAAAAACTGAGAGATATTGTCAAAAAAGAAATAGAAGGGAGAGGAAAGACAAACGGCAATATGTGTAAAGGAAATGCGTAATTAAGAGATAAACATGGATGATTACCAGAGAAGCTGAAGGAAGTCCAAAAGAGATGTTCTGTTACAATTTGGTCAAAAATGTATAAATGTATTGGAAAATTAATAAAAATTTCTTTTTTAAAAAAAAAAAGCTGCAGAGATAGTGCAGGATAGTACGCACCCCGGAAATGATCTCTTTCAGCTTCTGCCTTCTGGAAGAAGGTACAGGGTTATAAAGATTAGGACTAGCCGCCTGAGAAACAGTTTCTATCCAAGTGCAATTTTGGTTTTAAATGCAATGTAAGGAGTCTCTATAGTATATTGTATTTTAAAGTGGGGTTTCAGAGTTTTTAGGGGGTTAAGCAGGCTGGGATAGCTGGGATAGCAGGCATGTTGGTTTTTGAATGTCTGATGTTGTATCGTATTGTATTGTATCATATTGTATCGTAACGTTTTCATCCTTGTATTGTTTTGAATAGTCTTTGCATTTAAATCAAATTTCTCCCCAGCAGTACCACTTGTAGGAGGTTGAGGGAGAGAAAGGTGGCAAGACAGAGGTGCTCGGTGGTACAGAGGAAGGCAGAAGCAGGCAGGCAGCCGTGACCCCCTCCCAGCCACCCAGAGCCTGCTGCCCCGAGGTGACTGCCTCATCTCACCCCATGGGAGGGCCAGTCCCACTCCCCAATCTTTAACTAAATTAATGTAATTTTTAAATATTTTATTTTATTTTTGCAAATTGAAGGTGATGGTTAAAAAGCAATCTGAAACCTCAAATGTTTTAAATAAATACATTCTCCCCCACCCCACCCACCTTGGAGAAAAGTCAGTCTTGACTATTTGAAACAGCTCACAAGCGGGAAAATACTCCATGATTTGTCACTAGGATTCAGATGGTCCTATATGTCTGCTGCTAAGTGACTTGTGGGACGTGTGTGGCACTGTGGGTTAAACCACTGAGCCTAGGACTTGCCAATCAGAAGCTTGGCGGTTTGAATCCCGACGGGGTGAGTTCCCGTTGCTCAGTCCCTGCTCCTGCCAACCTAGCAGTTCAAAAGCACATCAAAGCGCAAGTAGATAAATAGGTACCGCTCCGGCGGGAAGGTAAACAGCGTTTCTGTGCGCTGTTCTGGTTCGCCAGAAGTGGCTTAGTCATGCTGGCCACATGTCCCGGAAGCTGTACGCTGGCTCCCTCAGCCAATAAAAGCAAGATGAGAGCTGCAACCCCAGTGTCATCCGCGACTGGACCTACTGGTCAGGGGTCGCTTTATCTTTACCTAAGTGACTTGTAGGAATCAAATTCGGTTTGAACCATTCTTGGGTTCTTCTTCTGGGCCAAATGAAGGCTCCCACCCCACCCCCCGCCGCTCCAGCCCACTGTGAAGAACTGCAGCAGCAGCTGTTTGTCTCCATTCAAGTTGAGAGAAAGCTGCCTTCTATGATCTAGCAGCAGCGGCAATGACATAACCCCCAATGATCACCCCACAATGTCATAACACTATTAATCTCTGAGGGCTGATGTAGCTGATGGATGGGGATGGGAAAAGATGCTGTGGATTGTGGACCTGCAGGGTACCATAGACGTCAAAAGTTATGCATAAAGAGAAAGACTGAAAAGGTAACCCAGATGAATAATTACAACGTCAATGGTTACTATCCAGTATAATGTTACATGTGTTAAGAGAATGAATGATGTTGAAGAAATCTGTAATCCAGTGGCTTGGAGCACAACCGTCAGTGATTCATAATATTTGCCTTTGACAGAAGGCAAACATTATGACTCCTGATTTCTTTCCTGGCTTGGATTTTTATCCAAGCGAGAATAAAACTCATTTCACCCACTTCCCTGGTTGTAGTGGAAGAGATGGGAAGAAGAATGAAATCCTTGTTGTACTCTTGTTTTGGGGTGGGAAACATATTTCAGCCCAGGGGCTACATTCCCTCATAGACAGCCTTCCAGGGGCTGCATGCCATTGTTTTATACATTTTTAAAATTGCTGATGTTATGATTGCGAATCAGGCTTAGATGTTTCGCAGGAAGCGATCCATAAATGCAGTGAAATTAATTAATAATTATTCTCTCCCGTTGTTCCCCCAATCCCTCAGGGCAGCTAATATGGGTTAATTATGCAAGCATCTTGCACCACCAGCTCCCTTGAATTAATTGCTCCCAATGAGATTCACAGATGGTTACGTCTGGAATGGGGGAAAGACGAACTGGAATTCTAGCAAGAGTCATTGATAACAGAATGTGTTCTGTGGTCTACAGAGTAATGCTGCCTCCCTCACACAGATCACAGCCTTCCTAGGCATTGGAACCACTTGTTGTTGTTTAGTCATTTAGTCGTGTCCGACTCTTCGTGACCCCATGCACGCCAGGCACTCCTGTCTTCCACTGCCTCCCACAGTTTGGTCAAACTCATGCTGGAGTATTGGAGTATTGGAGCCTCAGCTTCACGATCTGTCCTTCCAGTGAGCACTCAGGGTTGATTTCCTTCAGAATGGAGAGGTTTGATCTTCTTGCAGTCCATGGGACTCTCAAGAGTCTCCTCCAGCACCAGAATTCAAAAGCATCAATTCTTCGGCAATCAGCCTTCTTTATGGTCCAGCTCTCACTTCCATACATCACTACTGGGAAAACCATAGCTTTTACTATACGGACCTTTGTTGGCAAGGTGATGTCTCTGCTTTTTAAGATGCTGTCTAGGTTTGTCATTGCTTTTCTCCCAAGAAGCAGGCGTCTTTTAATTTTGTGGCTGCTGTCAGCACTTAATACACACCAATTGCTCTGCTACAATGAAAGTTATGGGAAATGCAGGGGTGGGTGGGTAGGAATTTGAGGTATTTGTCAGTGCTGCAAAATTTTGTTTTCTCCCTGTGTTTTCATTCATACAAATCCCTTGGATTGATATTGAAAACAGTGATGAGCGCATGGACACAATTTATTCAAAAACACCAACTTCAGCCATCACTAGGCTGAAAATGAACTTAATTCCAAACAGGAAAGTTAAATAAAGATTGTTCCCACCACAAACTTCATTTAACTTTCCTATTTGGAATTAAGAATAATAAGCAAAAGCCTTTAAAAAATGAATTTTCACCAGGACATATTTTTTAAATTGCATACCCATGCAGAAATGTAAAAAAGTGAAATTATGAAAAATGGCAAACTGATAATCATAGAATTGTAGAGCTGGAAGGGGCCTTGAGAGACTATCTATTCCAACCCACTGCAACACAGGAATCTTTTGCCCATAATGGGGCTTGAACCCACAACCCTGAGATTAAGCGTCTTTGGAGCTCTGGCGTCAACCACAAACATTTCCAGTATGTGGAGATGTGGGGAGGGATCAGGATGAATCAACATATTTCCATTCCCTGTCAATTGTTTCTAGGACTTTCCCTTTAACACAAAAAGAAAAAACATCTGCCCAGGTGTTTGAGTACCTACAAGTAGGGATGTAAGAAGGAAGCCATTTCCATTCTGACCCGTATTTGCCAAGATCAGTGCTGTTTCTGTTCTGGAGCAATTCGGTTTCTGCCAATTGCTGCATTATTCACCTTGGTGTGCGCAATATAACATTAAGTTACATAAGGGTTTCAGAATTATGGATCATAGCCAAAACTAGTAGGTGGCAGAGTTTAAAGGCTGTGCAGCAAAGGAATCTGATGCATATACTGGCTGCAGTGGCGAAAGGTTATTGCACAACAGCTGGTTCTTGTTATGAAATCCATTGCACCACAATATTTGGCAGGCCAGCCCAAGCTGCACCTGCGGCAGCTTCCAAAATGGGGCCCCCTCTCCTCATCAGGGAAGGTGTGAGGAATATCTACATCAGGAAAAGGGTGGGGGGTGGGGAAGAGAAAGATTGACGTTGGGATCTGCTGTGCTGGTGGATCCTGCCACCTGAGGCAGTCAATTCACCTTGCCTCATGGGTGGGCTGGCCCTGATCTTTGATAATGTCCCACTAACATAACAAGCTTACCAGTACACAGATTAGGGTAAAGGTAAAGGTAAAGGGACCCCTGACCGTTAGGTCCAGTCGCGGATGACACTGGGGTTTCATCTCGCTTTATTGGCTGAGGGAGCCGGCGTACAGCTTCCGGGTCATGTGGCCAGCATGACTAAGCCACTTCTGGCGAACCAGAGCAGCACACGGAAACGCTGTTTACCTTCCCGCCAGAGCGGTACCTATTTATCTACTTGCACTTTGACGTACTTTCGAACTGCTAGGTTGGTAGGAGCTGGGACCAAGCAACAGGAGCTCACCCTGTCACGGGGATTTGAACTGCCAACATTCTGATCAGCAAGCCCTAGGCTCTGTGGTTTAGACTACAGTGCCACCAGCGTCCCACAGATTAGGGTACAATCCAGTAATTGTTTCAACTCTTTCTAATGCCTCAAGCAAGGAAGGATTGGCAATATTGTCATGTCGTAACTTGGTTCCTCAGAAAAAGGTGCAACTAAATGTCAACAGAAGGTAAACATTTATTTACTTTTAAGATGGTGATTTCCAGAAGGTGTGAGTGGAGGACTTAGGGGTGAACAAGTGGCACAGCTGTCTGTTTAATCAATGATGTCTTAAATGCAATTAGCCACTTAATTGTCGCATTTCCATTTAGCTGATGTGTGGCCCATGTAATTAATTACAGTTAGGTTCCCCTCAACCTCGACCCTTTCAGATGGCAACATTGTGTTCTCCGGCTCCCACATGGCAAATTAGGCAGGGAGAGATTAGTCACGGAAGTCATCCGGATGATATTTCCGTCAATGCTAAAAGCAAAAGAGCAAAGGGACAACGCGGTTCTCCCCACCACTATCGCCTGTCTCACTCTTCCTAAGTGACAGAGACATCATGATCTCTCAAAAACATAAGCTATTTAAACAAACAAATCGCATGATGTGCCTGTTGCTGCCTGAGACTGCTGGGCCAGGGGAAGGCACGTAGCTCAGTGGCAAAGCATCCGCTTTGCATGCAAAAGGCCCCAGGTTCAATCCCTGGCATCTCCAGGTAGGGCTGGGAAAGACCCCATTCGGAAATCCTGGACAGCTGCTGCCAGTCAGTGTAGATAATTCTGAACTAGATGGAGTGAAGCTTTGACTCAGTGAGAGACAGATTCCTATGTTCCTACATACAGTGGTACCTCAGGTTAAGAACTTCGTTCTGGAGGTCCGTTCTTAACCTGAAACTGTTCTTAACAAGAAGCACCATTTTAGCTAATGGGGCCTCCTGCTGCTGCTGCGCCGCCACTGCACGATTTTTGTTCTCATCCTGAAGCAAAGTTCTTAACCCGAGGTACTATTTCTGGGTTAGCGGAGTCTGTAACCTGAAGCGTCTGTAACCCGAGGTACCACTGTACTTCAGAATGAAATGTGTGGGGTAGCGAGGGCAAAACAAGCTTCCAAGCACAAGTCAACTTGTTGGTTTCAAACTAGGGAATGGAAACTTTTTAGTCTTTCACGTAGAATCATAGAACTGTAGATTTGGAAGGTACACTGAGGATCATCTAGTCCAGCCCCAAAGTTCCCACTTGCCGTACTAAGAATCGCTTTTACAGAATTATGATTCCAATCAATGCCCTTGGCGGTGGTGGATGGTCGGTACGGCAAAGTACAGTACAAGGAGAGACTTTGTCTGTGTGGGCAATCTTGTGTAGAGGACCTGTACCCCTATTTATTGCAATGCTTGGTTCTATATATAGAACCAAGAGACCAATTTATAAAACCCCTGCTTACGAATGGAACACACTCGAACAGGGCAGAAAGGGTGAAATGGCTGCTGAGTGATACTGATGACTTCCTAACTTATAAAGTAGCACTATATGCGTTGGCAGCTAAGAAGATCAGGGGAAAGGAACTAGATAAAATAGTGGTCGATTGCAAAGGTGATTCGGACATTTAAGCTGGCACATTCTATCTGAGAACCCCCTGTTATTCTATCGTATGCAACAAACAATTTCTAGGAGACTTGACCGTGGTTTATTGTATTTGCAGTGCCAGATATTTTTATGGTTTTTATGGTTGTTGTTTTTCTTTTTGTTTCTTTTGTGAATGATGCCATGGCCTTTGGCTAGTGCAATAAAGTTTATGATGATGATAGTCTAACCCCCTGCAGTGCAGGAATATGCAGGACCACACCTGCAACCTTGCCATTATCAGCACCACGCACTAACTAACTAACTGAGATGTCCAGCTGGTGCCATGTGATTGGATTCTAACTCCCATCCTGACCACTGTCCATGCTGGCTGGGACTGATGGAAGCTGGAGTCCAAGAAGATCTTGAGGCCCAGAAGTCCCATATCCCTGTCGGAGCCTCCGTACGACTGAGCTGTAATGGCTACTCCTCCGGCCGTATCTTCGGAACCCCAACAAGGCTCTCCTCCGATGGTGATTAATGGCCTAAGCCTTTGAATGAGACTTCAGGCACGCTCTCCATTGCGCAGAGTACTCAGACAGCAGCAGAAGGAGCCAGAAATATGTGCTACATTGGTACTTTATTTCTAACTATGCAAGACAGAAAAGAATATGCGTCTGCTCTCTGTGAGACACAGAAACAGGAAACCAGTAACTTCAACATCCGTCTCCCATCTCCCATGAGACTTCCAACAGTCTGGAATGTCAATAGAGTCTTGTGACTCCAAGAACTGCACAGTGGCATAACAGAAACCTAACAATCCCCACTTTAAGCAGATTGGGGCCAGTGAAAGACAAAGGCAACTATCTCCCATATAAACTTGCCCATCTGTGGAGATCTTCTTCATGAGCCCATCTCCAGGTTTTCCTGTCTTCAGAATTGGGCTGCATGGTGATTGGGATGGAGCCAGTTCAGCAGTGGTACCCCAGCTTTGGATTGCTTTCCCCGGGTGCCTATATTTGGTGTCTTTTCAGTGCCAGGTGAAGACCTCCTTATTAACCCAAGCTTTTCAGAATATAAGGGTCTTCCTGGATCAGGCCAAAGGCCTATCTAGTCCAGGTAAGTCGGACTAGATATTCTGTTAGAATATCACATGGATCACTGCTCAGCAGGGCCACTCAGTCATTACACAGAGTGAGTGAAGCAGCTGCCCAAAGCAGCTTATTTTAAGTGTAACAGAAGCACAGAAAATTCTTGGTTATTTAATTTATGGCTGTTGTATTTTTCTGCCAGGGAAGGGCAGAGGTGTTCACGGGAACATTTGCAAGTAAGTCCTCCCTTACCAGGAGGGAGGGGAGGCAAGGAAGTTGGTGCTTTGTAGGTGCATCAGCAGGAACACCAGACTGGCTCTAAGCAATGTGTCCACACAATGCCACCCTCCCCACTGCCAGTGAGCGGTGGCATCTCCATGAATGGAAGAACGGGTGGGTGGCTGTGTCTCTCCTTGTGGGCCACTCCTGATAGCAGGTGATGGGAGCAGGGCTGGATTGAGATACCTTGCTGCCTGAAGTGAAGAATAAGATGCCAACCTCCTCTCATGCCACATACAAAAGCTAATCGAACTGGCATTGACTCTTACATCAACTCTTGTGATGGACAGCATCCATGGCATGGGCAGGACACATGGCACATACAGCTGGCCACCACTGAACCATTGCTTCCGGCTCCCACCCCACCCCACGCAGCCTATGGTGGCTGCCCCACCCTGTCTGGTGCCCACAGACATATGGTGCCTGTGACTCCAAGCTTTCATTTTCATTTTTAAAATAAGCCTCCAGCCCTCCTAGAAAGATGGTTATGGGGCAAAATGTGCCAGTTCCTTCTGAGTACTTTCTGTGAAACAAGAATGGTGTGGCTGCGTATTTGCTTGCTTGCTTGTTTATTTGTTCGTTTATTTGTTTATCTACTTATTTATTTATCCAGTTTACCCTCCTTCATCTGCAGATCTCAGGGTGGTTTACAGCATAAATATACAAAATAAGAACACAAAATACATAATAATACCTTGTGCATTTTTCATGGTACTGAGGAATGCTCCCTGTTGGTATTAGAGAGCAACAGAAACTGTGTGTGTGTGTGTGATCTCCACAATCAGGCCCAGCAGGACATAGTTGACTTCCCATGACAAACACCAGGTTGTTGGGCATGGCCATCTCTCTAATAGTGTGTTATGCCATGCCCCACAGCAGCCATTTTGTGTTATGCCACACCCCCTCTATGGCAGCCATTATGTGACTGGTGCCTCCGGAACTCTTTCAAAAGTGAAAATGTGCCCACTAGTCCAAAATGTCTGGCAACCCTTGCCATATGACAATTCCTTCTCATGTGATTTGAGTACTAAACAATTAAATTCTAACTTTGAGAGGCCTTCAGTAGCACTTGTCGACTTAGTTTCCCTCATTACTTACTTTCAAAATAATTTAATAACCCTGAAGTCTTAACAGAATGATGTTCTTCTTACAATGGATTCCATTTCAATTTGACTTCATTAGAGTTGAATGCTCCCTTCTGGAAATGAGCCCAGAACAGCCAGTTCTAGACCTGAGGGCCTCTGAATGATGCCAAATTGGTCCAGTTATTTCAAGTTCTGAGACATGATGTTTGCTGGCCAATCGCTTTTAGTATTAGTATAATTTTGGCTGCAACTGGTTTTGGCGGCACTGGAAATTAATCATGATCCATTGAACAACAAATTCTTTGGGTTTGTTTCCTAGACAGGCAGAGGTTTGCACATGTATGCTGGAACATGATGTGATTAATGACAGCAGTGGTGGCTTTTAGTTCAGTCAAGATCAGTGTGTGTGTGTGTTTTTCTTCTTTCAAAAAACGAATATTGTTCAATGCCAATTTATCTGGGAGCAAGACAAGAGAACAATAGGCAGTATCCAATGCATTTGTTCTGTTAGTGCAAGGATTTGTGCTTGCAAATGGAACATCCCTCCCTCCCTGTGCACACCCTGTACCTTACCAAAATGTGCTCTGGACTATTAGGGAAAACCGCATAGCAGATTTAAGGGCTGCATGGAGCATGCAGAGAAAGGAGAGGAACAGGAAGTTCCATTGCCCAGCCTAACGTCTTTGTACTAATGGAACAAGTTTGTGTAAGTTTTATGGAGATTCTTATGAGATACCAGATACAGTCTTACCTCGGGTTAAAGTAGCTCTGCGGTGACCCAGAAGTAACGGAATGCGTTACTTCCGGGTTTCACTGCTCGTGCATGCGCAGACGCTCAAAATGACATCATGCGCATGCACAGACGCAGCGAATCGTGACTCACGCACGCGCATACGCGGGTTGCATTCACTTCAGGATGCGAACGGGGCTCCAGAACAGATCCCGTTCACATCCAGAGGTATCACTGTACTTTATGGTGATGTAATTCTGAATTAATAATGTTATAGTCAGTGGCTGGCAGTAATGGGGAACAGAGGCATAGCGAGGGTTGCCAGTGCCTGGGGGGTTGGGAGGGAAATGGATGGAATACGCATGTGAATTCAACTGCCTTATGGTGTCTGCATCACCCAGGAGATCACAGCCGCAGAGATAAGAAAAGAAGAGTTGTTCCATTGTCTGGAGAGGCCATTTCCTGGTTCGCGTGGAGAAGCCGTTTTCAACTGAGCCCAGTGACAGAAGCACACAGCTGTGATGAGGCAGCACCTGGTGTTGAAATTTTGTGACCCCTAACAATTTTGCGCCTGGAGCAACTGCCCCTGTGCCCCCCCCATGCTGCGCCACTGATAGGGGCTATCCCCTTGCCTTGCAGCACCATCAAATTCTGAGAAGGACCTAGCTAAGACAACTTGGTCTCACCTCCAGGAGCTCTATCCATGGTACTGAACCTATATATGTATGTTACTCCATCCAATGTTATGATCCTTGCCTTAACCTGCCCTGCCTTGGTGTACTTCCTGTTTAGGGAGCCAGGAACTACTGTCCCTTCCACAATGGTGGGCATCCTGTGGATCACAAAGATGTGACATTTCCCACTGGATTAGTGCCCAGGAAATGCAGAAGCATGAAGTCAATTCCTGGTGCCAAAAGCGGAAGCATCTTCATTAACATTTGGGAATCTCTGCCTAGCTGGTGGCTGCAGC